AAAATTTTGGATCGGTTCGTTTGCCGTATAATTGTCTTAGATTCAGTAATGCGCCAATATGATTGAGTTGGCTATTATAGATTAGCCAGTTTACCAACAAAACCAAGAATAAAGCTGATTAATGTTCCGTTGAAGAATTCGTTTGTGAATGTAAACATTTTTCGCAAAGCGTTATTTATAGAATTGTTTGATATGGTTTGTTTATGAAGTTTATTGTGTTGTGGTTGGCTTTGTGAAAGTAAGCGACTAGTGCTTTGCTCCTATAATAAATCTTGCGAGGATGATTAAATGGACAATGCGTGTTGCTGCGCATCAATTATCATTGGTCATTCTGCATACAATGGATAATCGCAATGACGAAATCTTCGTAATAATAATTACGTCATTGATTAAGCAGTAGTATATTAGATCACATCGCGCGCAGCACATCTCTTACTACTAACGAAAGAAAAAAAGAAATGGCGAACGTCGAACAAGAACTGGTGGACGCAAAACGATATTTGGCCGAGGTGGCGGAGAAGCTGCAGAGGCTGGAAAGCTTGAGGAAGGGGGCTGAAGAAGAATACGTGGGCGAGAAAGCAATTCTAGAAAGACAGGAAACCAAACTGGAGGAGAGACGAGACAGCTGGGAGGCGACAATCCAGGAGCTGCAACGGAAACTGCCGGCCGTTCAGCCAGGTAACGACTTTGTGACTCGGGCGTTGGGGACATAGAGTAGTGTGATCCTGCTGTTTTCCTAAAATTAGCGTATGTTCTTATGTTATTTGTCACTAATTTGTGCATGAAGGAAGCAAACGCAAGTCATCACTTTCTTCCAGTTCTATAAGCAAAAGTAAGTGTAAACTTTGCATATATCTTTCGCGCTATCTTGGGTTTTGTCCGGAATATGTTATTGATGAATTTTTGGTAGGACCGCGCACGTTCACGGCTGCCAACGGAGTGTTTCCTGACGTCAATTATTTCGTTGAACCTAAAGAAGCGGTCGAACTTTTGACTAATTTTATTGTTGAGGGAAAGTTCTGTCTTTTGCATGGACATAGACAAAGTGGCAAAACTACCGTCATTCAAGCCACGGAACGGCATCTCCAAAAAATATCATCATCAATCAATATACGTGGTTTTACACCTGGTCTCGAAGTCTATATTATATCTTTCAACGCGGGCATTGATGTCGAAAACGGTGTTTCTAGTTTCTGGGAATCCCTATGCCTCAAAATGCAAGCCAGATATCCCAATCGGTTCCATTTTGATCAGAATCAGAATCAAAAAGTAACAGCAGCCATGTTCGAGACTTTCTTTCGAAGAACAGCAGACTCGTTGCCCACAGTTCTCCTGATTGATGAAGGTTCCTTCTTAGTCAACCGTAATGTTGCAATAGTTGACGATTTCATTGGCACGTTGCGTCTTCTAAGGGATGGTCGCAATGCATACTGTCTGCATTCTTTCATACTCGCAGGTGTTGAGACCGTCAAGGAGCTTTTGGTTCCTCAACGGTTATCCAGTTCTGTAGGTAGTATCTCGCCATTCACACGGGAGGCAACCATTATACCAGGACGTTTTATAGAAGCAGATATCCGGATACTTCTTGATGAATACACTAAAGAGGCCTCAGTTGTGCTCGATTCAGTTGCCTTTGCTCAGGACATTTACCAGCGTACCCTTGGACACAAAGGGCTAGTTGGCACATGTTGTGCAGCAATTGAGAAGAAAGTTGCACTAGGAAAGCGCTTTGTATCCATTGATGAGTGGGAGCTGTATGCCGTTGCTAATCTTCTTAGATACATACGTGAGCAAGATACATATGCGTCTATTGTTCAAACATTAAGACAACTCTCTGAAAAACACAGAGAAATCGTTGGGTTAACCCTACGTTATGGATCGGTTATAGTTAAAGAGGTGAGAACATTGCTTTCGATCTTATTTATTAATCTTGCTACCCCACTCACTTTTTTTCTTTGATAAGTGTGATGAATTGAAATTTCTCCTGGCTGAAGGGATTGTAAGAGTTCAGGAGAGCAAGGAAGAATTACTCGTTTCACCTCAGCATACGATAATTGAGTGTGCTGCACCGTTACTGCGCTCTATTATGATTTCAGAATTGAGTGGGCCTGAAATTGAAATTGGGGTGGCACCGGATCCTCATAAAGTTTGTCCTCGATGGCTTATTGCACGTACTATTGAGGTATGTATTGAAATGAGCAGTTTGTGATGGATAGTAATTATTAGTTATTTTGACAAATTGTTTTATTGTGTAGAACCTTGGTATCCAGCATATTTTCGCTAAACAGACGCTCAATGCTAATGACCAGCCATCAGAGTATGCGTTCCAAGTTGAAATTGCTGCCATTTTTAAACAACTACTTTCCAAGGCTTATCCAACATTGATGTATCATGTTCTCCCCGAGGCTAAAGAATATGATGAGGATGGCTCCCGGCGTAAACGGCTGGATATCCTTGTTCGCGATAGTGGTTTACCAGCTTATGGTTATGAACTTATGGTCGAAGCGAATGAAAATGTTTTCAATAGTCATTGTGAACGAGCCTACAATTATGGTAGGGTTCATCAATGCTACATGATGGTGGTTCATTTTAGTGAAAGTGGGAGACTTGCAACATATTTCGGACCTGGCTATGAGAATGTGACAGTGATGCATGTTGTCTATGATGTAATGCAAGGGAGTGCAAGATTGATATATCAAGACAGAGAGGAATTGGTTCATATCAAAGGCGTTGATTGGAAAGTGATGTTCACATCATAGAACGTAAGTAGCATGACATAGCTATACTCATTGCATTTTTGGTTTGCATTCATTGTATCTACATGAATTGCTGGGGTGGGGGTTAAGTGACATATGGTTGAGGAAAATTAGAAGCACATTTGCTGGCATAGTAATAGATATCTTTATTAAGCAACTAGATGCGTTTAAGGAATAGATATATCACAAGATAGCTTTGAGAAATACATGCATTGTAAATAAAGCAATAAAATTTATATATAGGATTACCCGTATATGAATAATAACGAATACAATGGTTCCACCGAATATGACAAAGCCATACATTTCTTAGAGACAGGTTGCAATTGTGGTTGCTCGAAAACGATTCCGAGAGAAAAATTTGCTGAATTACGTGAGGTGTTTCAGGCTCTCTCTAGATCTGAACAAGACATATTTCTAATGGCCCAACTGAAAGCAATGAATGGTGGAGAAATAACCACCAGCCGACGTCTTAAAAAGAAAACGCGTACTAATAAGCGAACGTTTTACTACTGAGATCGCAATACGTCCCTCTGTCAGAAAACGTATCTTAACATGTTAGGAATTGGTCGCACTCACTTTGAAAACGTCAGAAATCACTTAGCAACAAATGGTATAATACCACGCGTTCATGGTAACATAAAACGAATGCCGCGATGGAAGACCAAAATCACCATTGATATAACTGTTGCTACCGCGGTGAAAAACTTTCTCGAGAATTACGCTGAAATACATGGACTACCAAGTCCGGGTAGAAATGTCAACCGAATTACTCAATCGCTTACACTTTTGCCAGCCGAAACGAGTTATAAATCGGTCTATCGCAATTTTATTGCAGGTCTCGAAAACGATAGTACGTTGAAATTGTTAAAATATGACGCATTTCGCAAGTTATGGCACCAATTAACGCCTTATATTCAAATCATGAGTCCGAGAACCGATTTATGCGATACTTGCCAACATTTTCGGAACGGTTTGCAGTATAATGCACGTAAGGAAGCAGAAGCAAAAGATTTACTAAAAAAATTCAAAGAACATTTAGTTAAGGCTAAAACTGAGAGAAATTATTACAACAAAA